CAATTCAGAAATGGAGCTCCTGAGCTTTAAACAGCCTAAAAACTGAAATGATAAATCTTTGTCGGAGTTTTTAAACCACCTACTACAAGTATTAGACTCTGCTATGGTAGTGTTACGACCACCGTCTGCGTTTATTAGACATCAATCGAGGCCGATGGTTTAATATGCCCTCCGGAGCACGATATTTTCTTGCGGACAATCAGGTGGTTCAACGTGATTTTTTAAACCAAACTGGGAAAAATTCACAAAGTGTTGAATATCAACCTTGTAGGTCAACTCACGGAATCGAACCTGAACCACAGACTCCTGAGGGGAATGCTCCACCCATTAGACCACGAAAATACTTGAAAAAGTTGTCTAAACAGCATTTGCTGACTTTGGCGTAGTCGACCGACCATAGTCAATTGCCTTGTTTCACGCCGCTTTTTGCATTAATGCTAATTATTTTATGAAAACATGTTTGATTGTAGATTATTGTACCTTTCGGTTAGCTAATGAAACAGAGAACTCTGTTATGAAGTTTTACGGATTATTCCATAGTGATTTTTACAGTAGATTACCATGAATGTTGAAAAATCCCTTCCACCAAAATATTTTCTTGTTTTGGCGCTGTATTTTAAAAAAGAAGAGTATTTCTAACTAAACTTGTAACTAAAATGATTGTCCTATTCATTCACTATGAGATCATGTCAAAAAACTATGCATAAAACGGTTTGGCTAGCTTTCGCATGACTTTTAAAGTTGAAATCGGGAAATTTTCTTTAAAAAATCAAAAGTCCTAATAATTTTGTAACCAATCATTTCCGACCCCTGGTTCCATGGAAGAATATGTTGGAAATGGCCCCCCCTCTAACCACCTTCAGGGAATGCATCGAATTTCCAATCACCCTGTATAACTTTTAAAGCACTCGCGATTACTTTCACACATAATAATTACTTTAACGAGTCTTGTCGCGACCACGACTGGTGCAACCCAGTCGAAACGTCGAGTGTCCAGGTAAATCGCTTATTTACCTAAAAAACTATCGCGATAAGACTCGTTAAAGTAATCTCTATTTTGTTGTGTGGGTATCGTCCTGCGCCACAGTTTTTCCATACGTCAAATGTATGAGATGAGGAGTAATGAGGAACTGTCCAGGGCCACGTCATTGAAAAGCAAAATTGTAGATGGCGCGCTCCATCACCATCACCAATGTAGATATATTCAGAAGACTGTGTATTCATATGCCGTGACATACCGGCTTAGAATGCCGTATGATGCCGGCTTAGAATAGCATCACCCCATTTCTTTCCTATGGGTATCGTAAGAAGCGACTAAGGGACTCGAGGGTTTCATGTGTATTTTCAATTTTAGGCGACAGTGACAACCTGTTACTATAGCGATACACGACAATAACTAAAACGGCCCTCAAATATTCGTCAGAGTGTATTTTACGGCCGTTGATGCTCTGCCTACCCCGCAAGGGATAATGGCGTGATGTATGTACCTATGTGTATTCTCAAAGAATTTTGACCTACCTACGCTTTTGGCTCAGCGAACTTTTGACAGTCTCGAACCCGAAGTTATTTTAAGAAAAGGTAAAAGGGTTAAAACGTAATACGATTACAGGATTAACTTCCATTTCGGCGTTAATGTTTGAAATGTGAAATTAATTTTAATTTTACCCCAGACCCGTTTTCAGTTCTAGTAATTAATATTGTTTAATTAAGATTATAATATTAAACTACCGGATTACACTGGTAAAATGTTTGTCAATCAAAATGGGGTAAGCCCAAGAAACATTAGGTCAAAATATGAAAAACAAAAAAAATGGACCTTCAAAGCTAGCTCAAATCAGTTGACGGGCAATTTTGCAATAGGAGTTCCATTTTTTTCATATTTTGACCTATGTTCCTTGAAGAAAGTTGTTCTTTATCATCAGCCCGTACTGCATTTTTGCTATGGGTCACTAGTAACTGCCTAGGTATATAAGGTTATTAATACAAATATTTTGAAGGCGTGATCTTCTAACAAAACTAAACAGCTTTTAGGTATTAGAATTAGTTTAGTAGTAGAATTAGTTACTAGCTTTTCTTTATACATAATAAGAAAAAATAAACGATACTCCCATACAAACATGTTGAAAAAGTTCCTCAGTGCCATTTTTTTCCATATTTTGATGAAAAGTTTCTAATAAAAGTTGATCAGTTTTGTGAGTAGAATACGCCCTTAAAAGATTTGTACTTTGTCAAAAGTAACCATATATCCCTAAGTTAGTATTACAAGAACATGTTTTAACTTAGTTAACAGTTGTTAAGGCTAGACAGAAGCCATTTGGTGTCTCGATTACTCTGATTACAGTGTTTGGTTTTGTCGTGTCTATTCTCTTATTAAGTTTACAAACATAAAAGATAATCATGCTATTTGGTAGCTAGGAAACTTGGATTACAACGTTAGCACATCCTACTAATGTGTTTGTTACGACATCAGGCTAAAACGGCTGATTAGATTGACATGAAATTTTGCACAAATATAGAAGAGTATCTAGAATAACACATAGGCTACTTTTTACCACGGGAAAATGTCTTATTCTTATGGGATCACGCATATTCCAATATTTTTGCAAAGGTGGCGTGACTGAGCCGATTCGCGTTTCAAATGTTTTCGCCGAAAACTAACAGCGACATCTCTTGGCGAGTAATGCTTTTTTCCCGCGGAATAATAGGTTGCAGCGGGTGAAACCGTTGACGGGCAGCTAGTAAAAGATAAAATTTTCTCAGCTAGTATTGTTGAAGAGCTAGGTTGTTTACATCTTTTTACATTAGTAACCACTTATATCCACACGGGCTTCACCCCAAACGGTTGAGAGGATTTTTATCGCAAAATACAACTTTGAAATTACCGCAGACAGGTTTTTGTTTTTCGATATATCTACTTGTTTTAGGCGAGGAACACACGCAACGTCGGTTTGTGCGTCGTTCATTCGATTCTCCACTCTACCTGCATATGGGTATGAATACGGTTTGTGTCAAACGGCATCGCACAACGCTGCGTTGTCTGTCAAATCGTTTGACATAAACCGTATTCGTATAAAGATAAGGTGGAAAATCGAACAAACGACGCACAAACCGACGTTGCGTGTGTTCCTCGCCTAAGTTATGCTGTTCTAACTACGTTTTTTGTTATGAAGGGATGCCAGTATATGGTCATCTTTCTCATCTTTTTAGTGAAGCTCTTATTTATTCTTGCTAATAAAATTTACACTTTTAAGGTTACCTATCTAAACAAACATCCAAAAACAATTTACTCAGAACTTTCTTGGTCTTAATGAGATCCCAGATTGCGATAATTTTTATACACACTGCATAGTTTTGCGACAATATTCCGGTCCGGCGTAGTAAACTAAAAAGCCATACTCAGGCTACAGCATGGGTGTCGTGAAAGGCGACTATGACACCGGTTTCGCTCATGTTTAAATAGGGCTTACGGTATGGCCTTTCGAAAAGGCCATATTTGACAGCTGTCAAAAGCCATACTAGGCATTTCAATAAAGAAAAATAGATCTTATGTCATAGCTTTAACATGATTTTTACAGCTGCCATGTGTGGCCTATTCAAATGACCGTAACTGTAAAGGAGTTTTAGTGTTGCCTGAAAGTTGAATCACGGTGCGGCTGAAATACTGTTATTTTCTTTCTGCCTGTCAAAATCGGAAATATCTCGCGGCATGTGTGAGATCTATCTTAATGAGATCCCAGATTCTGCAAGGGATGAGCAAATTATTATCTTTCTCATTAGGCTAACGATTTTCTTACTGCAAATCTTACTTAATTTACGCGCGAAAACAGAGTAATTTTCACTAATGGAGATAGCTGGCCTTATTAAGTTAATGTTTTATGTTTTTTTTATGGTTATGGCCAAGGCTATATTCTTTTTCATGCTCTGTAACTGCATGGAGAGAAAGATCGTAGTGTATTAAGGAAACGGCGTGCGGGGCGCCTTTACAGACGACTCACTTAGTACTAGCGATGATTTTGACGCTTACTGACTTGAACTGGTAATACCTAACTGGAGTCTCAGGGGGTAATTAAGAAGATGGTTGGCACGAACGTCATATTTCTTGGATTAAAATTGGCTCAGAATCATATGACGTTCTTGTATCAGATTTTGCAGGTTTGATTTTTTTCGCCTTACCAGATATTTGACAGTAGCAACCCCGGCTATGTAACTCGACAGTCACGAAAATCCTAATGGGATCGAGTGAACTTACTGCATAGTTTCTACCTATATTGTGTTGTGCGGTGCAACATGTTTTGTTCGTAGCAAAAATCAAGTAGCAAAAGAATTTGGCAATAAACATTATGACATTTGACCGCCCGCCTACCTGACATCAACCCTCTTTGGGAATGCTATTGTAGGTGGTATCACCGCTACCATACGGTTGACTATAGTCGAAGTCAAAAACTCTACGAAAAACCTTGAGTGGTCTAGGGGTGTGGCAGTATTCTTAGCCGCTACCACACGGCTATTGTACCTAGAAGCATATTTAAATCCAATCCCTAGATTTCTTCAAAGTTTAATGAACACTGAAAGATGTAGATTCAGGTCAAATTTATTTTAATGAGACGCCTTCCAACCTTATAAAATTACAAGAATTGTTAAAGTAATACAAATAATGAAAGATTACGAAATCTCATTATAACAGTCTGGTTGACAATCCTGTGCTTGTCTTATATATTAAATCTTTGCTGTTTTAAATCTTATACCTTTAAACGAGCAAGAATATTTAAATATAGGTAATTTTTGGGATCTTGGAAACGGCTCCAACGATTGTCAGGAAATTTCGTAAATAAGGGGTTTTTGGATAAATCGATCTAAGTAAAGTAAAGTAAAAAACCATTTATTGTGACAGAACGTAACAGAGAAGTACTTATAAATACACACATTAATACGCTTAATACGCTTAATCGTCGCTTTGAGACGAACATCAAGAGGTTGAAAAATTCACCAAGGTCCGCTAGGCGCTCGTAGCTCAGTTGGCAGAGCAGCGGTGGAACGTTGATCCACAGTCCCGGGTTCAAGTCCCGGCGGTCTCTGGTGAATTTTTCAATTTTCTCATTATTTAATTAACTTATGTGATCTTCAGCCGTCATCGATGCATCGTACATCTTACGTGTGTCGATGGCGTCTCTTCTGATTCATACATTTTATAGACATTGAAACGGTTTCAAGCGTCGCGATATCCCACGTCTCATGACTTACCTACTGTTGAGATGATTGGGCCTTAGGCTGCTGTAACTAACTAGTCTGTCCTTAATTCGGTAAATCGCTTTTTTCAGCACAAGTAAAAATCTCTTACTTAAGCTTTTCCTTCTAAATTGCATTAAAAATTTCAATTTTGCATGAAATAACAATTTTATTTCCCTTTTATTCTCCTTTTCTCTCATAACAAAGCCTTCCTTAAAATAAAATCGAGGTCATATTTAATTTATTAATGAATTAATTAATTTTATTCACACTTTCTTCTGCCCCATATTCTGCAATATCTTTTGAAGAGTAGTTTGAAGTTTGAAGTGAATTTTGAAATAATGAAAAATATTTCTTTTTATAGACTACAAGATTTCTTTTTGAATTCATATTTTTCTAGTATAGGTATTTCCTGTTTCATTTTATCAGCAAAATAAATAAGAGTGGTTGTAAGTAACGACTAGAACGCATACTAACAATTTTTTTAAGGGTTTGATTTCTTTGGAAATAAGTAAAACTTTCTTCTATAAAATGAAGTAGTCGAAGGTAATAAGTACAACTAAGTCAGCATTTAAGCTGAAGCGGTGAGTGCCGAAGTACCGCTGGCGAAAGGTCCTGGTTGTTTCACCTTCATTTCGGATCATCAGGTATGGAAGTGTCACTTCGGTGGACACTTCGGCACTCATCGCTTCAGTGTATTGGAATTTTTAATGCACTCACAGCGCTATAATATTCTCATAAATTAAATAATGAGAAAATTGAAAAATTCATTAGCGACCGCCGAGATCGTTAATCGTTAATTAATCGTTGCTTCGAGACGAGCATCAAGAGGTTGAAAGATTCACTAGGGTCCGCTAGGCGCCCGTAGCTCAGTTGGTAGAGCGGTGGAACGGCAATCCACAGTCCCGGGTTCAAGTCCCGGCGGTCGCTAATGAATTTTTCAATCATCGCTTCAGCTTAAATACTGAATAAGTGAATAAGAATTACACTGTAATGTGTACGTACAAGTAGCTTATCGTAGAGGACGAAACTCACAAGAGTTGTCGCAAGACACTCTTCGCAGATCTGGACTATACATATCCTAATCCTCAGTCTAACAATCTGAGCTGGGTCCTAGTTACAAGGCTGGCGAGTAATTTTCCCAAATTGAGATGTTTGGCCGTGTGATGCCGGCTTAGAATGGCATCACCCCATATTTACCGTTTCGTGCCGGGTTGGAATAGTATCACCATTCACCCCATGAGAAGGTGTCGTAAGAAGCAACTTCGAGAGTTGTTGTGTATTGTAATTTTAGGCGACAGGCTGACAACCTTTTACTAAGGTTATACACAGTTTTCTGATTGACTCTCAAACTTTTGTCAGACGTGGTGTAAATGGCCGTTTTTACAGCCGTTTACGGTCTGCCTATCCCGCAAGGGCGTCCCGTATAGGCGTGATATATGTATGTAGGTAGGTACGTACGTAGTATATAATGCATATTATTATTTAAGTGTAAGAGGTGTAAGTATCTGTAAGTACAATCAAGTACAACTATGAGAGAAAAGGCCTTCCCTACAAATTAGTCGTTGTGTCTAACAATCTGAGCTGGGTCCTAGTTACAAGGCTGTAATTTTCCCAAATTGAGATGTTTTCGTGTGACAGTGGCACAATGAATGTGGGTTACTATGTCGGGTGTCTGGGAAATGAAGTGTTACTTGCGCGAATAATGAATGGGCCCGAATTGGCAACATATTGTTGAAGTTCATAGGCAAGTCGTATTATATGATAGAGAGTAAAACAATAACGTTGCCAATTGGGGTCCATTCTTTAACCGCGCAAGTTTTAAGTAGGTACCTATCTGCTAACTCAAAAACTCGCATAGCACTAGTAAAAAAACTTTCTTGGATTTTTTCAATAGTTTTAAAGGAATCCTATATCGATACTAGGCTTACCCTTTTATGGCACGCATTTAAATGAAATAGTATTATGTCCTTTTTCTATGGGGTAAACCTAAAAACCTTTTCAAAAGAAAGTTTCTCCACATTCCTCTTATAAAAGGTTTTATATAATATCTCCATATTAGGTGTAATATTTCACCTAAAGGTTCTGTGAATTTCGTTCATTATTCCTTGTAGGCCTCTTCGGACTGAAAATCCCTCCGTATATTGCCTTTTATATTGCAGCTTCTTGGAGGAAAATAATTGAAATATAAAATATTTTTTTGTATTTAATATAATTTGACTTGAAGAGAGCAGCATGCGAAAAAGTGTGCCGTTGAAATTTATATTATTTTGTGAGTATATTTGCAACATTTTCATTGATATTAAAAGTTGCGTCAGAGGCAAATTTAATAAAGTAATAAAGACAATATTTAGGTAGGTAATATTAAATTCTTCCGCTATCCAGGTAGATCTCAAAGATTACTTTAGAGTATTAATATCAACGTCACTCAAGTTTAAAATGGAGGTTATTCGGATAAATGATTGTAAATCATTTCTTCTAATAAAAGCAATCTTTGGAATTCAAATTAAACATTACTACTTTACCAGGAACAGTAGGTAAGCTATGAGGTGAGAAAAAGTGTAAATATCATTAAGTAGTTTATATATAGGTATAAGTTTATGTCATTAAGGCGGGGCTCACAATTAAGGTCCGGTACAGCACATACCTAATTAGCGCTAACGCATACGTTTTACAAATGCAAAATAATTTCGAATTCCCCTTAAAAAAAACAGATGGTAAATACCGCAACGCAGAAAGTTGCGTTGCGATGTTTCAACGTCGGCTTTTCAAAGCGCAGCAACGGACATACGGTTCTTTCCCATCGAGGCAACACTGAGCGTGAAAGGGAATAGACAGTCGCTTGAACCACAAAATAGAGAGTTTACAGAAGGTTCACTCGGCCTTACTTCGGATTTTTGCAATTGGCATTAGCCAGGCCTGCTACTGTCAAATATTTCAACATATTAAAATATCAATACAGCAAAATCTGTTAAAGATTATATGTCATATCATATATGATTCTGAGCCAATTTTTAAAACCAAGAAATATGACGTTCGTGTCAACCACCTTCTTATAGTTACTTAGTTACCTTGACTTCACCTGAGAATCCCGTTATTTTCAGTTAAAGGCAGGAAGCGTCAAAATCGTCGCTGGTACTTGAGTGAGCCATTTGTAAAGGCACCCCGCGCGCCGTTTCTCTAATTTGTGGCTACACTGAGCGTGAAAGGGAATTGACAGTCGCTTGAACTGACATTGCAGCGTCACCGAGTCGCCCAACGACCCGATGAACCCTGGTGTCAGAGTTTTTCAGCGGCCTACTGCAAGTAGCAGGCCTCTGACATGGTTGTGTAACGACCTGGCTCATAAACAGCAACGTGGACCGGCGGCTTATCGTGCCTATCCGAAGCACGGAACCATCTTACTTGCGGACAATCAGGTGGTTCAGCCTGCAATGTCCTAACCAGACTGGGAACAAATTCACAAAGTGATAAATATCAACTTTGTGAGTGACCCCACCGGGAATTGAACCCGGAACCTTCTGCGTGGCAGGCAGTCATACTAACCACTGCGCCACATCATCTGTCGGTCTAAATTGACCCAACAAAGGGCGACCGGTGTCTTGTTTCGTTTCGGCCCACGTTGGTCTTACGACAGTTTGACATTTATATGATGCACAAGAGACGTCTTGTAAGCCTACCTTCGCACGTGACACGAAGGTAGTAATTATATACTAGTGGGTGTAATTTAATAGTTACACATCCACATAATTTAGTTACCTAAAAGGTGAAATCTTTCACTGTGTATACAGTTCCGGGTCTTTTGTCAACCCAATGCCCCATGCCACAAGTACAAATTCTTACAGTATTAAGTGCGAGCAGAAAGAAGGCGAGTTGTGTTTTAAAATTACATACCGCATTGCTCGATCCAATATATGTAAATTATCGTATCCCTCGTCGTGGTCGGGTAAAATAAAGTCTCCACATTTTCTGGAATGTTCTTAAATTAATTCTAGATTTAAATTCTGCCCGTCCGTGTCTGTCCATCGTCGGACTAGACTTTTAATGAAATATTTCAACGAGATCCCTTGCTCCAAGAAATATTACATGGCTAATTTTAGAGACAAGACAAGCTTCAAATAGCACGAACGCCGCAAAAAAATGAGGTTCTTTCGGTTCTTTACAGCCACCGTACAAACGACAATGGTAGCCTCTTTTATCAAGTTTTTTTTTCTATACATTTATTTTAATGACTTTTTGTACGTGATTTTGTTTTTACTGACCCAGTGTCATTCATTAAAGACAGTGCCGTGTCACAAAATAGAGTTTCCCTAATTTGTGGCCGTGTGGTGCCGGCTTAGAATAACATTACCCCAAATCTTTCCCGTGGGTATCGGAAGAGGCGACTAAGGGATTTTGAGAGGTGATGCACAATTTGGGAAGCGGCGCGTGTTTAAGTATGTGCATCGTAGGTAGTGTAAGTGATAAACTCTAGGATAGAAGTGGAGGCTACGAGTGGAACGTAACGTAGGAAATCCATAATCGTTGTCTATTAGATTAGAGTTTTTTGATACCTAACTGCGTAGCAAACATAGCCTCCTTACTTATCACTTTACCTATACTTTGTATCATAAAACAAACACCATTTTATCTACAAACTAGTGATATTGCTTTTCAAAGAGCGATAATAATAATAGATTGAGTAAAACAGTACATCCACACGAGGCTCTCAATAAATTGATGCGTGAATGCCGATGCTATCTAGCAGTAAGCAGTAAACATAGACAGAGAGCTGGTGCACGAATTGGCTAGCAAAGGAACAGACAAATAGACAGACAGAAACACTTTATTGCTCACATTAAAACATAGA